AGATCTTAAAACTTAAATTAATCCATTTCTATTAATTTACTTTTTTCATTGCAGCTTTATTACCTCTATTCTGTACTGCCCATGCTGTTTCTTCCCCTTCTGGCTTGCAACTTCCTGTTTCCTTCCTTCTTCCCAACATCCTCTCTGCTCCAAAAATCCTGTCTAGCTGTTGTTCATTCAGCTTTTTAAAACCAATCCAAGTGACAAATCTTCACAGTGTAGAAAAAAGAGTATTATATAGCAGTTTGGAGTACATTTGGTAGATAGTCAGGACAAGATTTTGAATTACAGAAAAACTGAGTCCAATTCTTGTAAAGTATTACAGGTTAGATTAAGGGAACAGATCTTACTCTAATTGCAATTATATTAATTTAATCACTCCAAGAAAGAGAGTCAGGAATAGAAAAAAAAAAGTCAATCTTGAGTATACAATATGTACAACTGAGGATCAATATTAACTCCCCAGAAGATATTTTTAAAATATTAGATATGGTACCATGCTTATAATCCCAGAAGTTGGAAAGTAAGACAAGCTGATCCCTGGGACTTGTTCCCCTGGTAGACTGGCCAACCAGAGAAGTTCTTGTATCAAAGTAAAGTATGTTGTATCTAAGGAGCCACATTAACCTCTATAAACACACACATATATGTGTATGCTTGCTGAGCCAGCGCAGCCTGGATGCCAAGTCCGAAAGAAGGACATGAGGATTAATGAAACACACACTCTGGATGTTGTAGAATCAGAAGCCTTTATTTTACATCACCAAGGAAGTTTTATGCCTAACCCAGACAGGTGGGTAAACAGGATGGAGACCTCATTGCCGAATCCTCGGGTTAGGGCCAAGACAATGCATACTCAGGGTTGGTAAACAACTCTGAGAGCAGGGAACTTGCAAGTTTCTCAGAAACCCAGAACAACAAGGGCAAGAAAGGTCACCAACAGGGGAGGTGAGTAGGAAGGCCAGGACTCCATTAGGTCCCAACATATGCGTATGTATACATACCTTTCCACATGCATATGCACACACAAAGGATGATCAGAAGTTCTGGTGGAAATCACTGAAAAAAAATGAACAAATACAAGGTCATTTGCAAAAGAATTAAAAGGCATACTGCAGTTCCCATGTGGAGAGCATAATAGGATCCCAAATTTATGAGTATTTTTATAAATAATAAAGTTTCCATTCTTTACAATTGTTTCAGATGTGTCTTATAGACTTAGTATAATATCCCTAGTTTCTTAAATATTAAGAATAGTTTTCATTAGGATTACTCAGAATTCCTGGTTAGTTTTAGACTTTTTCAGACCTATATACAGGTGGCTGAGAAACTGTACTAAGAATCTTACACCTGTCAGAATAGCTAAGGTCAAAAACATCAATGATAGCTTATACTGGAGAGGATGCAGAGAAAGATGGTGGAAATGCCATTGCTGGTGGAAATGCAAACTTATACAACCACTTTGGAAATCAGTATGGCAGTTTCTCAGAAAATTGGGAGTCAACGTACCTCAGGATCCAGCAATACCACTCTTGGGCACATACCCAAAAAATGATCAGTCATACTACAAAGACTCTTGTTCAACTATGTTCATAGCAGTATTATTTGTAATAGCCAGAACCTGGAAACAACCTAGATACCACTCAACTGATGAATGCATAGAGAAAAATGTGGCATATTTAAACATAAGCGTACTACTCAGTAGTAAAAAGAAAACAATGACATCTTGAATTTTGCATGCAAATGGTAGAACTAGAAAACACCACCCTGAGTTAGGTAACCCAGACCCAAAAAGATGAATATGGCATGTAGTCACTCATAAGTGGATACTAGCCATAAACAAAAGATATTGAGCCTATAATTCGTGATCCTAGAGAATCTAAGGAACAAGGTGAACCCTAAGAAAATCATATATAGATGCACCTAGACAGTTGAAACAGACAAGATTACCTGACAAGACTGGGATTATAGGGGCTGGGGGAGAAGGGAGGGTGGAAGGTGAAGAGGAGGGGAGAAGTGGAGGAACGAGGAGGACTTGAGGGAATGGGATAGTCTAGATGGAGAAAGGACAGATATGAGAGCAAGCAAAGAGATATTTTGATTGAGGAAGGTATTATGGGGTTAGCAAGAAACCTGACTCTAGAGAAATTCCCAGAAATCCACAAGTATGACCCCCATCTAAGACCCTAAGCAGTAGAGGAGAGAACTGAACTTGCCCTGTAGTCAGACTGATAAATATCTTAAATATCACCCTAGAACCTTCATCCAGCGAATAATAGAAACAGAGGCAGAGACCCACATCAGAGCACTGGACTGAACCCCCAAAGTCTAGTTGAAGAGTGGGAAGAATGAGAATGTGAGCAAAGAGGTCAAGACCAAGATGGGTGCACCCACTGAAACAGTCTACTGGCGCTAATGGGAACTTACTAATACCAGCCAGACTGGAAAGAAACAAGCATAGAACCAAACTAGTCCCTCTGAATGTGGCTGACAGTTGCATGGCTGGAACAGACTAAAGGGCCACTGGCAGTGGCACCAGGATTTATCCTTACTTTTGTACTGACTTTTTGGGAATCTATTCTCTTTGGAGGGATACCTTGCTCAACCTAGATATAGTAGGGAGGGCCTTGGACCTTCCCCAAAGCAATGTGCCTTATTCTCTCTGGTGAGGGTTAGAGTAGAGGGGGTATGTGGAGGGAATGGGAGGAGGAGGAGAGGGAGTGGGAACTTGGGTTGATATATGTAATGAATATTATAGTCTGTATAGTCTGTTATATTTTTTTAAAATAATTTAAAAAATTAAAAAACCAAAACCAAAAATATTCCCTCTCTTTTTTTTTTTACTTTTACTTTTTTGTTGAGCTAAGTATATTATAGAACATGTTCTAAAAATTATCTTGGCAGGCTCTGTATTGTAAGTACGAAACTGCTAGTTAGAGCATATTGGTGTAAAAAACGTAGGAGTGCATCATCTGTCCACACTAAAAAACAAAACAAAACACAGATCTGGAGAGATGGATCAACGGTTAAGATCACTTATCACTCTTCTAGAACACACAGGCTTGATTCCAGAACCTACATGACAACTTACAACTGCCTGTAACTCCAGGAATATATACCTGCTCCAAGGAATCTTCGGGCTTCTATGGGTACTGACATTCCATTCTCTCTCTCTCTCTCTCTCTCTCTCTGTCTCTCTCTCTCTCTGTCTCTCTCTCTCTCTCTGTCTCTCTCTCTCTCTGTCTCTCTCTCTCTCTGTCTCTCTCTCTCTCTCTCACACACACACACACACACACTTTCTCTCTCTCTCTCTTTCTTTCCACCCCTCTGCCACCCCTCTCTTTATCTTTCTTTGTTTCTTTCTCTCCATATATGTCCATATATAAATGCATATATAGATATATATATGAGATATCTCTGATATATATATATATAATATCAGAGTAAAAAGCATATTATAAATAGATTTGCTAGAGAGGAAACAATATTAGTCTTTAGGAAGTATGATGACAAGTAGACATTGTTTGATACAAATTCAGTCATAACAGACAGGTTTGAAGTTCACTGACATAGCAGTATGATCATCTGTAGAGTGGGGATGGTATGGAGCAGCAAAGAAGAGAGAAATGAGTTGATAGCTAAATACAGCAAGATGGGAGGAGTTTGTGTTGTTGTTCTTTTGCTCAGTAGGATGAGTCTGGTCTACATAATCTATGATTTAATTCAAGTTCTGTAAGAGTACAAAATATCTCAATATATAGAAACAATAAATGAAAAGATGGAAATTCCAATTATTCCAATATGATCATTATACAGTGCCTATATGCAACCAATTATCACACTATACCATGTAAACATATACAAAAACCATATCATCATGTAATGCAAAATGAAATTTGCTTCATAACCTTTAATCCAAGGTAATAGATGAATATCTTACATATTTGCTTGCATAATTTTGATATTTTTTATCATTTTCTTTATTTCAATAGTAATCATTATTCATTGTCAACCTTACTAAATGTATACAAGAGAAAAGAAAAAGTGGAGATTACATTACATAGTGTTCCGGCGACTCAGAAAATATCATCTTAAATGGGTAAATAAGAAAGTTTCATGTGAAGCTATCAAGGAGATAAGGGAACAAAGGTTGAGATAAAGAGAAGGGATCAGGGATTGGCTTCAAAGTCAATACTCCTTTTGCAAAGGATTTGAGCTCGGCCCCCTGAACCCATGTTGGGTTGCTCACTCCAGGCTGTAAACCACAGCTAAGTTCCTGGAGATCTGACATTTTCTTCTGACTTCTGAAGCATCTGAACTCACATTCTCATGCTGCATCTAAGACATACACATATACAAACAACTGAAAATAAAATAAGCATCTTAAGAAGCATAGAGCCATGAGCACGTTTGATGGATTTAGTGAACAGTGTTATAAATATTATTCCACAGTCCATTTAAATGCTGATGAATTAGAGTCCAAGATCTGATCGTGGACTCAATGGGGTCTTCTTCTGGGTGTAACTTAACAATTTCTTATCACAATACTGTCAGATTGGTACACTGAAAACTCCAGTGACGAATATTAATCAGTGTTCAGTTGACTACTTAAACCCACACTCTTTATTGTCCACCTACCAATATAAAAAGTCATAATAGGGAGCTTGGATGACACGTTAGGACTCCTGTTTGACAAACCTCACCACCCTAATGACTCAGCTATGGAGCTCATATGAAAGCCATTTTGAAGACTAACAATTGGACTTACGTCTTGTTAATAAGACGTCATTTGACATAGAACTAAGCAAAGCAATAATGAGATGCTATCCTTCAAATTAGCTTAAGGATTGAGGTGCCAAGAAGTCTTAAAAAGAAAAGCCAACACCCAGCTCTCTGAGTGCTATATAATGTCCCCAGCAAAAATATAATGTCCGCATATGTAACCTGACATTTGACAACCTGAGTATTCCTAGCTGACTTCAATTAAGGGTTTGGAGAATATGCCTCATAGCTGCTGCCACTCATGCGGGAGCTTGGGTAATGCCCCATCACTCTCTGCCATCACACACGACTCTAATCCCAAAAGCTTTGAAGATGGCATTTTCTTACCCAGCACTTTTCACGGCAGAACCTGGCTCCTAGACAACATTCAAGAAACCTACAGTGAAACCTCCACCCACCAAACGGCCCCTTGTGAACAGCACCAGCGCGAAGTGGACCCTTGTGTGCAAAGTTCCTGGATCTCCGGAGCCAACCAAACAACTTGGTCCAACTCCAAGACCTGTGAAAGAACAACGTGCCAGTCAGGAGTCTCCTCAGCTGTGCCAGAGTGTGCTTCTCAACCCTGCCGGTCAAGAAATTGTCAGCAAATGGGTTTTAGAGTTCAGAGCTATCAACCTGCAAGTTACATGGCGAAGCGTTACCCTCTAAATTCTCCAGTGTCTGAGAGTTGCCAAACAGTGGAGTTTGAAGTTAGCCAATGCTGCTCTCAGGCTTCTGTGTCCAGTTCCTGTAACTCCTTGAGCAATGTTGTCTCTGAGACCCAGCGTGTGGAATCTTCTAGCACTTATGAGCCAGCATGCTGTGTGACAGGCGGTTCACAATTGCCTAGTAAGTGAAGACTTTACAGAGGATATGACTGGATTTCTGAATACTTGGGAACTTATTTTCTCTAAATATAAAATAATGTCTTTGGTTTGAGAACAAGCTTTTCCTTTGGGGTATTTCTGGTGGTAATCTTGGATCATAAAGCATGCTAACCATTTTGGTAAACAGGACACTGGTTCTTGAAAAGAAAACATTCACTACTAATCATTGTCTATGAAAATATTAACAGGAGATATGGCTTATTAACTAATGTGATTATACCAGAAATTCATGGAATGCTGAAATTCATTCGGGATGCTCAGGGTGCTGTACAATTTCTGTTAGGCCCAATTCACCCAGAAATCAATATGTAGACAATACCAGAAATACTGCTCAAACCGGGTCTACTCACTAACTGAATCAAAACACTTGTAAGTGAAAACTGGAGTCTTTCATATGAAGTGCAAGAATGTTGAATTTCACCTTCATGAAGTTTGTAACAGCACAGTAGCTGGTGGTATTTTGACAGATAATTCACAACTGGAATCCTCACTATATTTCCAATGTTCCTACTTTTCTCACCTCTTTTTTTCCAGTGATTTGGGGATTTGGGGATGGAAAAAATGTGATTTCTCTTAAATAAAATAGATTTATAAATTAACATTTTGGTGAGATTTTTAAAAGATTAGTGTGTGTATGTATGAGTGTGTGTGTGTGTGTTTATGTGTGTGCCAGATTCCTTGGAGATAGGGTTTCAGGATTTTGAGCTCCCTGACTTAAGTGGGAACCAAATGAAGGTAGGTCCTCTGGAAGAGCAGCAAAGACTCTTAAGTTCTGAGCGTAAGGTCCCTTGCTGTGAGTTTTATATTATAGTTTTAAAGGATGCTTTGATGTGATAAAAACAGCATATGTTGAAAATTAAAAGAACATGTTCCCTTACCACACTTTTTAGGGAAAGAGCCAAAATATAGTATCATATTTTTGGTTGCTATACAAAGATAGAAACATACTCAATATAATGATTATTAAATCATGGAAACAGAATAGAGTATGAATATTTGAAATACAAAAAAATTATGTAGGTAGTTGACTATTGTCAAGCTTTGAGGGCAGTCTTAAATGGATCTCTCATTCTGAAAGAAAATAAAAATTGGTTATTAAGGACATGGACTGTGAAGACAGGCTTCCTGACGTTGAAAATCAATGCTTATTGAAGGCTAGTTGAACCCCAATGGAAATCAGTGCAAATTATGCGACTATTCTCCAAAAAAGCATTTTTTTCAGTGTTAAGCTTGAATATACTATAAGGATGAGCACTGTGAGGGTTAAAAATCAATACATTGAAAGCTATCAATACATGGTCGTGTGTATAGTTAATGCTCAATAAGGTGCAGCAAACAGCCTTGCTTGGAGACATAGCAGGTTGCAGGCAATGGAGATTTGTAAACAAGCCCAGGGATCATGAAAAGTGAAGGAAGCTTATCATCTTATAAAAGGAAAAGAGCTAAATTAGAATTATTTTCAAAGGAAAGGATTACGAAATGCACATTTCAAGGGGTAGGTGGGGCTGAAGGGATACAGAGGTTAAAAAACCTTGCTGTTCTTGCAGAGGACCTAGATTCAGTTGCCTAGCACCAAAATGGTGACTCAATACCATCTGTAACTCCAATTCCAAGGAATGTGGTGTAATTTCTGGCCGCTGAGGGAACCATCAATGAAAATACATTTATGCATACAAAATACCCATACCAAAATAACAATAGAAACAACAAAACCCCTACACACTGTACCTAGCTGAAGTGGGTTACCAGATTTCCCCTGAAGTATTATCAAAGCTGATGTGCCTGTCAATCTACCAGTCTATCTGCGTGTGAGTGTTTTAGAAATTCCACATCTGGTTGACTAAACCAAGTAGAACGCAGCTGCAGCATCTTTTCTGGATGGCTGTGAGGTTCTCTGGATAAGACTGGCATTGAAAAATTAATGAACTCAGTCAATGATCCTTCTCATGGTTGGTGCTCATTATAAACCCATGGACCTGGATACAACAAAACATAGTGGAGGAAGAAAGTGTCTCTTCTTGCTTTTCTATTGAGCTGGGACTTCAGTCTTCTCTCGGTTGTGGTTTATACATTCAGCATCCATAGTGATCAGGTCTTAATACTTCGATCAAAATGACCATTGATTTTCCTGGGTATCTAGGGTAAGTTAAGCAGATTATGAGACTTTCTCATCATAATCTATAATCATGGGAGAGCTATGTGAGATATCCATTTGTATAATTAATTTATAATATAAAACTAAAACTTGCTTCTGTTATTTTTAATAACTGTGATTTAGTATTGAATTGAGAAAATGAAGAAGGTTTGAACTTTGATGGGCTTGGTCGACCGGTAGTTAGAATTAACCAGACCAGCTCAAAAACAAGGAATATAATTTAATAATTGGGAAAAGGAGAAACTCACAAGACTGGGGTCCCGCGAGCACCACGCACAGCCAAGAAAAAGAGAAAACAAGGGGCAGGTACCTGAATTCCCAGGTTCTTCTTCCCTGGCCCCAGCAGCCACATCTTAGTCAAATGTGACTAGCTGAGCTTCCCCATCAGAACTTAAATTCTTAAAGTCCACCTTTGTTCAGAAGTGTTTTGGAGATGTAGCTTGAACAGGTCCTGCAGGAGATGTGTGAGAAGAAAGGCTAAACATTATTTGACTTTATCTATGGGAGCACTGCTTGTGGACACAGAGGAGTATTCATAAAGCCAGATATTGCTATATAGCATCTGGACACATCTGTAATTTTCGCAACATAGCTTTGGCAAAAATAAACACTTGATCTCATGCCAGCCTCTCAGGATTTCATTCCAGTCAACATGTGAACATGGATGAAGTTTGCCGTCAAAGTTTAAACAAATTCAAATGAATCACCTGCAGTGAATTAAATTTGTTTGACTAATGTTTATTGCATGGGCCCTCACATATATGTTTCCATTGATGTAGTTTATATGAAAGAATGGGCTTTATTTGATAATGAGTATACGTATTAGGGAGGTATGAGAGGATTAAAAGCTCTGATGACCATTAAAAAGGTTTATTTTCATGTCTACCATACCCATCACTCTGTCAAAACTCATTCTCTTAGACCAATTCTCCCTAAAAATGTTATCTGAAGAAAGGGCCAGCCCATGATGTAACCTAACATGAAATACACTGATGTGGGAGTGTCATATCAATCTGTTGATTTCATTGGCTGAGCAATAAAAGAAACTGCTTGGCTGGCCCTGATAGGTTAGAACATAGATGGGAGGAGTAAACAGAATAGAATGCTGGGCGGAAGAGGAAGTGAGGTCAGACTCTGCGCGCTGCTTCCAGAGAGACCGGACAGCCGCCATGCTCTGCTCTCCCAGGCAGCTGCAACCCACGATGGACTTAGGCTAGAATCTTCCTGGTAAGCGCACCTTGGGGTGCTTACACACATCATTAGAAATGGGCTAGTCCAGGTGCGAGAATTAGCCTGTAAGGGTTAGAGTTCATGGGCCAAGCAGTTCTTTAAATGAATACAGTTTGTGTGTTGTTATTTCGGGCATGAGCTAGCCAAGCCGCCGGGGTGTTGGGGACGCAGCCCCGCCGCCGCTCCTTATTTCAACAGATGGCTGCCCAACGTGAGGCTAACTGAATCCACAAAAAGCCTGAGAAAGCTTGGGAAAGAATGGAGTGAAGCATGTTTTCTTGGTAGCAGAAATTTCTTGGGTCTACTCTGCTTGCTAGAGGCAAGCAAGCGCTCTCATCTAAGAGAGGCTTTTTGACTCAGCTTCAGCTGTAAAACCCTGAAGCTCATTAAGAGTTCCTGCCACGAAACACTTAAATGGTGTAGACGAAAAGCTGAACGCATGCTTTTCGATTTTCAGCTGTAGCAGGAAAAAAGCTGTGCTGTTTAAAAATGCCGGCTTTCTGGGCTGTCCTGCCACGGCAAACTCTGACTCTTTTACACAGGCAGTTCGTGTGGTTTGCAAGCACAGGCTGCTGAAGCTCGCTTGCTGGCAGGGACCTTGAAATGCCATAGAATTGTGGCTATAAACATGGCTACAGCCTGTATCTCCGCCATGAGGCTGGAAAGCTAAGGAATGGACTGGATCTACCTGGCAAAGCCACGGCTTTAATCCTACTCATATTGCTCAGTAAATTAAAGACTCATGTGTTCAGAAAAAGAGAGATATATAGTAAAGAGAGCGTCAAAGACAAAGAAAAATTTTAAATGATTTACAGTGTATTAAAAATGTATGCAGACTAAAAGTTAAAATTCTTAAAAATAAGGAAAAAAAAGAGAAGTTGTGTGTGGTAGTACACGCCTTTAATCCCAACGCTTGGGAGGCAGAGGAAGATTGACTTCTGTGACTTCAAGGTGTGGTAGCACACGCCTTTAATCCCAGTGCCTAGAAGGCAGAGACAAACAGATCTCTGTGAGTTCAAGGTGTGGTAGCAAACACCTTTAATCCCAATGCCTGGGAGGCAGAGACAGGTGGATCTCTGAGAGTTCAAGGAGAGCCTGGTCTACAGAGTTATTCCAGGTCAAAGAGATACAGAATATACAATAAAAGTAAAAATAAATGAAATAGAGGTTAAAATAAAGCTCACAAAGATGGAAAATACACAGAGAATCTTGATACTGTATACTATTATGCTCTCTTTGAATTGTTTGAATGCTAAGGAAGGAGCAACAGATGCTAAAAGATATTTGTTTATAAATGCTGCTGAACTAATCCATCGTAGAGATTTTGATGCCTTGACTTTGAAATTTGGATCTAAGGACATGATACTTTGGAAAGGAGTTTCCTATTTTGTTTTCACAGAGGATGAGACCCTGTTCATTTCCTCTATTCCTATATGGTATGATGGACCACGCCCTCCTGAACAGTTGCTGTTAATACCTTCAGAAAATTGCTTCGCTCAACTGCCAACTGAGATGAAATTAGCACACAGGTTATACCATGAAAGACCTAATTAAAGACGCCCCCATTCAGCAGGAAGCAGTTTGG